AATCCACCGCAACTTCTGCAGCCTATTTTGCAAAGTGTGTCCAAAGTTGCAACGTTACATTTGGATTCACATCTTTTAATTTTTCAGTATTTAATGGGAAACAGAGGTTGCGTGGTATAAGTTAAAATGGTCAAATGTTGGCAGTCCGTGTCCCCTACATTTAGGAAAAATATATTTGAGAAGATCCTATTTTTTATTTTATTTTTTATGCAGTTTTAAGTAATTGGTCTCAACTCTTAGAATTAAGAGGGGGGAAAAAGCAGGATACACATCAAAAGTCCAAGTCTAAGTCCAAACTTAAAGGTATGAATTTTTCTCAGAAATTAAGTGTCAAGATTAATCTAAAATGACTTAATTGATGGATGGCATTCGTGCAAGAATTATGGTCCCCCCCCCCAAAAAAAATGTTTTAATCCATAAACTTGACCATGGTGGGGCCTAAAAAACATTAGCCAATCTACATTGCCTACTGTAAGCGGATTGGCTACTTGTTTGTCAATTAATCATTTTGATTATTTACATAGGCTCCAAGCATAACTCATGCGCTGTTTGGCTAGCGGTCCTCCATTACGCCAAAGCACAAAGAAATACGCCTTTCTACTCCTTTTTTTTTTTTTTTTTTAGGTATTTGTTTACTGTTTTGTCTAAACTCCAACATCAATGGCCTAAAAGAATCCTGACAAACCTAACCAAAAAATAAATAGTTTTTTTCTATGTATTTGAAAAGAGGAGAGACAGTGAAGGAGAACGGAGCCGTGTGTTTGTATTTAGGGGATTCTTTTCAGAGATGGTGTGTCCTGAAGGAGCAAAAGGGTCTGAAAACAGATGCTTTGGTCACAAAACATCAGCTGGATGGGAAAATTAAGTTTAATTCTGTAGTAGGTACTGTTTTTTTTTTTTTTTATTATGAAACATGCAGCAACGAGAACCCACCAACAAACTGTAAATATCGTTTGCAGTGTTAAAGCTGGCCGAGACCTCTTCCTGTTATGGAGATCTCCTGCTGACTAGGTGCATCCTGGCACTTTGCTGCCTCTCTAGGTGAAATACAAAATTAATGGAGGAGGCATTTTCCAGCATAGAGAACTTTGGAGGAGGAGGGAACCACAAGCTTTTGACATATCATCCACCACAGAATCCTCATCCATGCCTTCAATCACCGAGTACTTAAGGCCACATTGTACGACACTTGTTGAATAATGGGAATATCTTACCAGTTTTATCCAGTATTTACACAGAATCTTTTTTTTTTTTTTTCTGGTGTTGATATGCAAATGTTCATTCATCTCTTGTCAGACCGTTTAGATAGATCTACATTACCATTATGTTTATTGTTGCGCAACCAGCCTCAAAACAACAGATTAAGACATCGTTATTTTATTATTAGAAAAAAAAATTCACTCTTAGTTTTGAAGTGAAATTCTCCCCAGATGCCCTGGATGAGTGACCTAGGTCTTTACACCCAAACCCCTTCAGATCTCATTACAAACTTAGTCTGTAATCTGCCTGAAACAGAACTGTGGAGCGAAACAGGAGAAAGGGGAATGAATAAAAACAAGCTAAGTAGAATGACATAGCTTCATCTGTCAGTAGAACTTGACTCAGCATTCTCTGTTGTAATTGATCATGAGGCAGTTGCCGGGCGTGCCAGCACAGCTGCTGTCCTGTAACTCAGCCTAATTAGCAGCCTGTGACCGATGGCCCCGGACAGGATATGATGTGTACCTGCCTCTGCTGCTTTTCTAAACACTTAGGTGGGTTTTTCCCCTGTTTCGTCTTAGCTATAGATTAAAAGAAAACATGGAGTCCTCCCTTTTGGCCCCTGAAACAACTTTACGTTGTTCCCTCTAAATATCTATTTTCGTAACTTGTAGAATAAAGTGGTTTATGACAATACTATGATTTATATTTAGTCTTTCAGGATTTTATCATTTTGGTTCTATTAATAACAACTTTACAATAAGTTAGTAAACAGCTGCCCTAATTCTGATAAACTTCGCAAATGGTTATCAGAAGAGTTCGTGTTTCCACGTGTGGAGGCAGAACATTTTTCTTGGAAAACTTTGGAGATTTGACAAATCTTAGCCTGTCCTCCCCATTTTAGTTTTTTTGTCTGTGAATGTCTGTGTGTGTGTGTGGGACGCAGATTGGTAGGGGTGGGGGGTGGCGGGTCGGTACTAAAATGTCATCACTTTGAAAAGGAGTTTCCACGCTCTGCTCTCTACCTACTTTAAGGGAATTCATTGAAATTCTAATAAACTACTAAAGTGCAAGATGAACACAATTATGTGCCAGTTTTTGCTAGAGTTAAACTAAAGAGCATTAGACAAACACACACTCCTGTGCCAAACAAGTTTGGCATTTCTCTTTAACTGTGTCCAAGTCTTTAATCCCTCCATCCAAGTTCGCCTTCCTCCCCTCTTGCCTCTTCCTCAGCTGTTCCATGCCCCAGCTCCCTTGGGATTGATACAATATTTTCCACCCTCAATTACCAGAGAGCCTGTTGACTAATTCCAACTGTTTTTGCACCTGAGAGGGCGCTGGGAGTTGGAGCTGGAAAAACTGAGTGGGGTGGAGGTGAGAGGGTAATGTAGCGGTGTCGACAAGAGTTTGAGGGCAAGCCGAAGCCCGCTAAACAGTGACACTTCAATCTGTCGTGGGTTTAAAAACCTCCCTATCTCTCTCAAACCAGATATATATCTCAATGGAAGGCACAGCACACTAACCTCATGATCTATTTTGTTAAATTTTAAGCAAAGCATAGATGACTGCTTGTTTTGCACTGTGTTCAGGTCACGATGCAGATACACACCCTAACTGTGTGAGCACAGAATTAATTTTTTCCAGTAAAGTTACTGAATGGATGATGGATAAAACGTAGAAGGAAATTGCATATAAGCAGAAAAGGGTTTCTGCTAAATACCATCTCTGAAGTGCAAAATACTTTTTGGAAGCAAAACCATGAATTTTAAATCACCATTTTCCCTATTTTTTTATGGCAAATTTCTTACAACAACTTCTGTAAAACGATCAGATTTATTCAGCACTTGGTAGATTCATTTCCTGCACCAGCTGACAAAAGTTTATGAATGATTAATTTCACATTCAAATCAAAAATCAATATGGGGATAATTAATCCTAGCTTGAGTTTAGGCAATTATAAGTGGATTTTAAAAAAACTTTGCCAGGTGACTGTTAATGACAGGTAAATAAATATCTGCCAGTCTGCTCAGGGAAGCAGTGGAAGCAGACTGACTGACCTGTCATCCCAACCAAGCAGCTGCTTTTCCCTCAATAGCTAAATGGAAAAAGTCTGACTCAGCTACTTGTATAAAAAAGGTAATAACAACCAAATACATAAATATTAATGTCAAAGGCAAAATATGTCTCTAAAAGCTATCCAGTCATTCGGTAAGCATGTGACTAATGGAGAGGGAGGTCAGATCATGGCCAATTTTGGTTCTTTGGGGTTTGTTCAGCTTTTAATAGGCAAAATACAGAGGAACAGCTTGCAGCATATTGTCATTTAATGCAATGTAATGTAAGGAATATTTTGTGGCACTCAGTATCATCAACTTCGAATTGTTTGGTTTGATCAGGGATATTCCAGAAGAATCAGCTTGCTCATCACAGGAACAGCACAACAAATAATGGAAATGGTATTATGGAGTCAGGGTGCAATACAAACTCTTCTGGAAATTAAATATATTTTCACCTGACTGAATTCTAAAGATGAGCACATCCATAAATATATATACATATTTCATCATACATTTTCAAGTACTAGTTTAAATCTGGGGACAAGCAAAACAAACAGGCCTGTCTTTTCTTTTAAGCCATTCTATAACTAAGTTAGAGGGATGTCAGATCTTGGCCAGATCAACGTTTTCTAGTTTTGATTAGGTTTCAGCAGATAGTCCTTGACTGGATGTTTCGAAGAAAAGAAACCAACATGGCACCAGATGTTTGGTTTTTTTTACCATTTCAATATCCAATTATCTAAAGACTTTCTATTAAATGAGAACATAGTTCTATGAGAACAGCAGATACTGCTTACCAACAAGAGTTTGGTCAGAAGTAATATTCTAGCATATATTATCTATTTTAAAACTCAACCATAATAATGAGTATTACAGTCGATAGGAAAAGGATGTAACATAATCTTACGCCTCTATGTTAAAGTGTATGTCAAATTAAAGCATTTCTTTGAATTACATATTTATAGTTTAATCCCAAATATCTAACTATAAAATCAGAATGTTAGATATTGAAATTACCCATACATGATTATAGAACAGAATATAAAGGTAACAAGGGACTAGAGAAGAACAAAATGATAAGGTAAAAAAAATAAAGGGCAAACAGGTAAAGACGTAAACTGACCTGGAATTAGGATTTATTGACTATGTTATATTTTTTTGCACAGGTAATAAACTGTACATTAAATTTGCTGACGTCCAGTGTTTCCAAGTGTAAGCTGTTTCTTATAAGATATATTAGATTTGCAGTGTATGCATTTAGAGAAATGTTTTTCTAATGGAAATTAACCCCACAGACTAAAAGTATTATGATTACTAAGAGGATAACCTGTGAACAACAAAATCTAATCTGTGTTTGCTTTTCTTGAAACATCACCCCTGCTGTAGTTAATACCAGCTTACTTAAGGCCTGGTGCACCTTCTACACACCTCTGACAAGTTAATTGGCAATGATACAGAGGCTTTTTTCCAACCTTAATATGCAGCACCAACTGATGCTCAATGTCTTTCCTCAGTGCCTGCTCTCCCATTAGTCTATCTCCACACTAGGGTATTCCGTTCCTACTTAGCAACGCCTCTCATGATTCAAAACAACAGAAATAGCACTCTGGTAATGTAACCTTTGGAGATTCCCATGCACTATAAAATTGATCAGATGACAAAGTTCGGTCATAAAAGTGGAGATGTCACAAGATATAATAAGCCTTGTTTTTTTTTTTCAGGAACAGAACAGCTACTTACTATCAGCATAGTTTTTTCGCCGAGTGCCATCCACTTTTCCGGATTTGTCAATGCAGAGGAAGAACTTGTTGGCTGAATAAAGCCGCCGGAGTCTGACGTCACCCTCCAGGTGATTGTAACTACGCGTGTGCCTTTCCAAAGTCCATGAACAGTTTATGCCGCTTTCCACTCCCTGAAGGGGCTCATGCCCTGCTCTAGGAGGACAGGCCCCTGTGGCCCTGCCAGTGGTGAATAGGAGCAGGGAGAGCCATATCAGGGTAAAGGAGGATGCAGGAGGAAGGGGGACGAACGTTCTAGTCGAGGTTGCAGCGGTGGTGGATCTGAAGTTAAGCTTAGGGCACAGATGAAGTGCAAATGACGTCCATCTGTACATGGTGGGTCAGGCTCCCAAGGTGCACCTTGTGCAAGCTGTAGACATGCTGATGATCAAGCAATATCAGTGCGGAGGGTGGGAGTCTTGCAGATGGAAGGGATGGAAATGGCAATCACAGCAGATCCTCTGGTTGTCACTGATAGTCTCCACTTTTAGTTAAACAGCTGGACGTTCCCATGGAGTCAAAATTGCCAAAAGTCTCTCTCTGGTTGTCATCTTTTGCTTTGAACTCACTTGTTCTGCTCCATAAACATGCTCCACTCTCTTAAGTCCATCCTTGATACAGCTCCTTCTTGCTCCTCGATGTCTTCCTCACTGCTCAATGGACAAAGTCCTAGGATGTTTAAGGATAAGCATGAGTGCAAGTTTTTTGAGTTTAGTCTAATTTAATGAGTCTTGGTCTTGATGTTAGGGTGAGTGTGTGCACCTTGCGATGCTCTGCTCTTTCCAGCTGGATAGAAACAAGTTGCCTGTCTGAGCTGCTCACCCGTGGCTGAGAGAGAGTTGAATGAGAGTTGTTGATGACTGACTCTGTGTGTGTGTCGGTGTGTGTATACCCGGGAGTGTGTGTGTATGACACTGCGAGAAATGGAGAGGGAGCAAGTATGGGAGGGAGTGACCCAGTGTAAGTCTGCGACAGTGAGAGAGGGAGGCAGTGGGTGTGTGTGTGTCAGAGTGAGTAGCAGGCAGTGAGTGTGTGAGAGAGCTAGCATAGGGCAGCAAAGCAGTAATCTACCGGCCTCACGCTCTGCTGTGTGCAGTCAGTCAGTCATCTTCAATGTGCCGGTACTGGCCGAGCAGTCCTGCATTTTATCCTGTGCAGGGCCAGCGTCTAGGGGCATAAAAGAAGAAGGGAGGTGGGGGGGTGGGGGTCACTGGGCTCATTCATCTTGATTTCTAACAAATAAAAAAGTTTGCACCAGTTACCATCTAATTCTAGTAATCTTCTCTCAAAGAAGTGTACTATTTTTTCCCCCTTTCTTGGCCACAAACACCTGGAAAAACTTAAAGAAAAAAAAAAAAACTCTGTTCCACCCAATGACCTTTGCTATCTCTCCTTGATATGAATCATTTTGTCGCAAAGCAGTCCCATTACTGACACACCAGCTAGGAGGCAACTTTTTTTTTGACAATTTCATGCTTGTTTCTTCTCTTCAGGCACATGGGACAAATTAAGGGAAGGCTTTTCTTTTTTTTTAACGGCTGCTGGTTTAAATCATCGAGCAGTCTGAGACACAGAGCAGGTTGCCTGTTGCAGGTTGAAGAAGTGTTAGCAGAGCTATTCCAGAGGATGCCTTAGAGACTTTTTGATCACCTGTGTTAATATTTCAATGAAACACCCTCTCTGATCTCTACCGTTTAACTTTGCAGAGCGCGACGGAAATGAGAAACACTTTTTTTGTGACTTCCCACACTTGTTTTTTTTTTTTACAAGCTGTATAATGATCCTGATTAGGTCGAGGCAGTGATGCAAAGGCTGTTTATTTATTGATGTTAATATTTATGGTATCTTTCTTGAAAGTGGGGATATAAATATATAAAGGTGACTTTGAAAGTTTTGTTTCCAATTTCATCTGTCATGCAGCTTAGTTCTTTTATTGTAATGAAGACATGCAAATTCTGTAATCATTGTAAACGTTTAATTCTTTAATAAGAGTCTTGTTTTAATTACAGGTTCTACAGTTTACCTTATTGGTTCAGCACTAGAAGTGTAGGAGAGTTTGACAGCAGCTTTACAATCTTAAAGGCTTTAAACCACTTCTGGAACCTGCTGGTGTTCTTTCTACCCTACATTCAAATTTTAAACATCCATAAACATGAACAAAGGGCTTGAGGAAAGAAGCCAGTTATTTGTTTTCTAAAAGCCTGAACTTCCATCTTCTTTATCTTTCACCAAGTTCCCTTTTTCCACATAAAATTGTTTACCCTTATTTATAGGGCTTTGACTCTTAAAGATTTATTTTGTTCTTGATTTTCATTCAAACTTTAATGTTTCAGATCATCAAACAGATTTTAATTTCAGACAGAGTAAATTAAAGAGGTTTTTAAATACCGTAATGATTTACTTAAGCACTGTTTAAAGGCCAACCCAGCTTTCTGTGAAACAATAATCGTCTCTCTTGGGTTTTTTTTAGTTTGTCCTTTCAATTAATTAACTTTCATCCGACCAATCTTTTGGAAACTGAATGAAATGACAATAAAAAGAAGATCCAGAAGATCTGAAAATGCAAGCCACCATGTCCAGATCACCCAAAAATTTCAAGGGAAGCCAAAAAAAACCAAAGAACATTGACATCTGGCTGCCTGGAAATGTCTCTCAAGTTGTTTCTAAGGCTCTGGCACAAACCATATTGAGAGCCACCAGAAATAACGAAACATGCAACAGTGATGAATGTTGTAGGTGAGGCAGGCCTAACAAAATCACTCTAAGAGTACATCAACATTAAATCAAAGAGGCAAAAAATTAACCATCAGTAACATCTTTGGGCCAACAGAAACCAATTGAATCTGACTCTACAAGATCCAATCCTTTTTGGTTGTTTTTTTTTATCATACTAGCTGTATTGTGGTTCCCTCTACAGACCACCAAATTGGTGAGACTGAATAGCCATGGGAGTATTACCAGAAATACCCCCTGCATAAACAAGCCAGGCAGTAAACTGTAGTTGCTGCTCAAATAAGCTCCAAGGAGATATTTGTTTCATTTTGTGTATTTGCTGTACTCCTGGACTCCTTTATGGATAAAGTGCATAATTTTTGAAATTTTTTATTGTTTGTCAGTGTCCAAGTCAGCCGCACCTTTGCTCCAGGCAAACCTATACAGCAAAAAACTTGACCAGTTAACTTTGCAGTCCAGATATTTATCTTTGGTTATTTTCCAAAAGTGGATGTGTGCAGAAAGATTGCAAGCAATTTGCAACCCATTTATTTCAACAAGTTGTAATTGCTATGATTTGACATGATCTGTTTCCCTGTCTGATCAGATGCTACGCCCAAGCTTTTACTTATATTAATCATCAAACAACCAGAAAGACACTAAGCAAAAATTCTAACCTCAAGGCAAAAACCTAATGCCCTTTATTATTTCCCAAAAGAGCTTTTGTGTTATTTTTGTTCTGCTGACCATAAATAGCACAGGAGACAGTCTAATAAATAAGCTAAAAAAAATTTTTTTAATTGATGAACACAGAGACCATATATGTTCCATTCAGAGTGAGAAATAAGAGCATTGGATACATGATTCTCAGTCATCCAGGTCATAGTCATTCCAAAAAAAGAAAATTAAAAACAATCCAATGGACTTTGTTTCCAAGTTTGGAGACATTTCGCTTCCCATACAGGAAGCTTTTTAAATTAAAAAACTCAGGCATAGCATTGAGTCCAAAGTTTTCGACGTTTTCAATGCTATTCCGGATGTTTTGAATTGAAAAAGCTTCCTGTATGGGAAGTGAAATGTCTTCAAAATTGGAAACAAACTTCAATTGTTTTCAATTTTCTCTCTTTTTTTTTGGAATGAGCATTGGATACACATTATTGTTTTATTAATGGAGTTATTTAAATGATGACTTTTCTCCTATTGATAAAGCATTACAGAAATTACATCACTGGAGCGAGTTAGTATAACTCGTTTGATTAAAGTAACCTTTTATAAACTCAAACTCTCTGCTAAGAAAGATATTTTCAGTTTGCTTTGAGATGTTGAAAGAGAGTGTGACCCTGGTTGTCTGAGAACGTCAAAGGTAGGTGGTTGCATAAAATGGATTGCTTCAGACTGAGACCAACAACACAGCAGGTAAAGATCGAGTCTGGAAGCTTAAAATTTTGTGCCTTAGTTTTACAAAACATTAAGCTTTACTTCTTCAGTGTTATTCAGAAATCACATGCATGGCATACTGTTACTCTTATTAACACAATGATACTGGAGGTGCACTATATATACTGTTGCCTTAAAATGTGTGTCCACTATTTAATTTAACTACAGTGCGTTTTTTTCACTTTATGGCTTGAAAAGAAAAATCTGTGTTTCAAAGCCAGTTGTGCATAAATTTTAAGATCTAAAACATCTAACTTGTTTTCTTTTCTTTTATTGTAAACATTGAACAAAATATTAAACTTATCTACATACATTCATTTACATTTCTAGGTGTCTTGGCTTGCTTGTCTTACTTACACCCTATAATTTTGAAAGTTAGAGAACAATGATTTAGAATTATAAATAAATGTAAACCATTACATTATTTAACTCACTTATTAGTGTTAAACATCTTATATTTCATTGTTTAAATCACAGATATATTTAATGTTACAACATTAGGAAAGTAATCTGAATTAAATTAGATTTTAGATCGTCAAATCTTACTACATGGTTACTTTTCCTAGGAACTTGTCACTTTTATTGTGTGGTAACTGCGTAACCAAAGAATTGAATAACTGCAATTATCTAGCAATTATAGCTAATTCCTTTTATAAGTGAGCAATATGCTGACAAATATATTGTCAGTGGAAATGGTATGGAGCTGCTGAGCTATTCCAGGGCCCTGGATGACTTCATGCTCTTTACCAGAGAATCCTTTAAGAAAATGTGCAAACATGATTTTATGACTCAGGCTTTAATAACATTCGCTTATAAATATGGGATCTAATTCAGACTGCTAATTATTTGGTTATGTCAGTGTCAATTATGGGTTCATTTTGTTTCATTACTTTCCAGAAAAATACTAATTCACATCAACCAAGACCAGATCCTGAGGAAATGAGAGGAAAACTGAACAAAATAAGACCAAGTTCTAGCTTATTTGATAAATCTTTCCTGTAATTATAATCCTACAGTCCTTTTACTGAAAATCTCTTAAATAGAATGAAGAGCTTTCTGAGGTCATCAACAAAGATCGGGCCTCATGTGAATGTCAGATGTGGCAGTAGATTGCATTGTGGTATCTTAGAAGCAAATGTTTGGGCACTGAGCTCAGTGCTAAAGCACAGACCAGCATTATGAGTCTTTTTTCTCTTAATGTCTTAATATGCAACATCCTGCTGTTTCACAGTACTACGTTTTGATGTTGCCATTAACCCCCCTTCGCTTAATGTCATGGTCAAGGCATGCTGTAAAAAAAAAAAAAAAACTATCTTGTCAAGTTCACATAGTGTTCAGTCAAAATTCATAATGTTCATTAAAATCTGTGCCATTGCTATACATCTTATTTCATAACTAGAAAGAAACTCAGATATAAGATCACATGTCATACCCGCAGATTACATAGTAAACCTTTTCAAAGCTTACATTGCAATTTTTACCTGCAAAAATACATCATCAATTTTTGTGGAGCAATGTAGCAATGATGTATATACAGTTGCTGGGAGAAGGTCCAATGACAACACTACTTAATAGGTTGCAACACTTTTAACAAGGGAGTTTACTAAGTAGTAGCTTCTCGCAGTTAATTAGTGACATTGTCCAACAATTATGTTGTTTTTGCTAGTCTTTCTGTTTTCCGTCACCTGCATTGTGTCCAGGGGCCATCCTAGGACTGAAATTGCCTTCCTGATGAGCTTATTTAACCACTTCCTCTCAGTGGTAGATAAGCTGCTGCTTCAACAAACCAAACCATAGAAGATGGCTGGTGTTTGATGGCTGACAAATCTTTTTCCTCATACTTTCCAGTTACATTTAGCCCACTAAAGATAAAA